ATCTTTCAATAAATGGGTGTTTTTAAAATTAATTCAAAGACTAAGGAGCAAGAGCCAAGTTTTGAATCAAGTTTGTAAAAAACATGTGCTTTCATTTATACATATTGTATATAGTTGTCTTTCAAAGAGAGTTTAAGCTAAGAGTTAGAGTCCTTTTGGAGGAGATCCTTGAGCTTTTATTTGGTTTAATGGTAAGCTTCGTAGAGAAGCCTTTGAGCTCGCTCTCACCCATATGTTGGCATCATCCTCCTTGAGCTAAGCATCTATGTGTACTCTAGAAATTGATTAGTTTGAGTTGTAATTATTTATATCTGCCTATTAAGAGGTAAACCTTCTCCTATACTTAACTTATTAATGGATGATTTTTAAGTAGATAGGTGTTCAACAAGGTCTTGTTAGTGGAAGACCATTATAATCTTGTTAGCATCTCTACCAAGCCCAACTACAAGGTCTTACAGGTTTGGGTCTTCTTGGTTCCTACTATAAGTCCAATTAGAAAGGTATTGTATGCAATAAAGTCTTATTAGTTGTAAAGGCTTGGTTGGCACTGGGGAAGTCCAATCAATTAGTGGAAAATCTTCAGTGGTGTTTTGAGGTAAAGGATGCGGGCAAGGTAAGGTTGTTGAACCTCTATAAAAAATTCCATGTGCCTTTTTTGTGTTTTTGTTTTTTGTTTTTTTTTTTTTTTACTTTTCAAGTTTATTTTTCTTGTGCTAACTTCTCTCAACTTCCATACTTGAAACCTTGAGGTCTTGCAAATCTGCTCTTTATTTGTTGTCTTCTTTTTATATCTGTAAGATAGAAAGAAGGCTACTGTAGTTATATCTCTAACTTTATTAACTCAAGGTTTGTTTGTTGCTCTGAAGTCCTAAAGTCTGACATCTGAAAGTACAATAATTACATTAAGAAGTATATTAGTATTGGTGAACTTTTCTTTACTCTAAATTATGGAAAATATCAAATATCTATTTTGATCCCACGTATGAGAGTTTTTGTTTGTCTTTTTGGGACTATCATTAGAAAACAAAAAGTTGTATGATTGCACTTTAAGAAATAAGAGATAAGAGGAAACAAACAAGCCTTCAATCAATTGCACTAACATCAATAACATTACTACCTATCTTTATATCTATTGTTATTATTATTGCTTACATTTATTGTTCATTTATATTTCAACAATATTTACTTTTCTACAATTAGTTTAGATTATCTTGATAGCTAGTCAACATCTCAACTATCTTGAGTAGCATGTCCTTTTTCTCTCCTACTTGTTTGTGGCTGCTCCTCTCTCTAGTTGCAAAGGGATACACTACCAGGAGCAACTACCATTTACATTTTAGGTACTCCTTTACATTTCTATAGTTATTTACATATTTATTTCTTAATTGTAGAACTATTAAATGGAAAACATATATGCTACAGCTCAAGGTTTTTAAAACCGAATTGGACAACAAATTGGTCAGGGGTCTGGTTTCCAGGTTAAACGGTCTGACTGTTAGAATCGAACGGACGACCCATTATGACAAAAAAATTAAAATAATAAAATAATAAAAAGAAAAATGATCAAAGTCGTTGAATGGTTCAAACTGTTCAACCGCCTAGGTCAACAGTTTGCTGACCAAATCAATGCTTTTTTTTGGCAAAATTCTGGTTTTGGAGAAAAACGGAACCACCGGTTCCCAGTTTTTCCAGTCCGATCATTCGGTCCAATCCGTTTTTGAAAACCGTGCTACAACTCTTTAATTGTTTCATTCTTTATTAGTTGTTATCTTCTTCTTAGTAGTCTTTATATTTACTATTGTGATTTTTTGTTTACCGCTACCCCTGTAACCGGTCACCTAACCGGTTCCCGGTTTTTCCAGTCCGATCATTCAATCCAGTATGGTTTTGAAAACCATGCTACAACTCTTTAATTGTTTAGTTCTTTATTAGTTGTTATCTTCTTCTTAGTAGTTTTTATATTTACTATTGTGATTTTTTGTTTACCGCTACCCCCTTAACTCTTGCTACTATATTGTTTATCTATTCTGTAGTTGTAGGTTCACTAGCTCAATAATTTGGTTAATTCAAATTTACCATCTTGATTAATTGTTGAACCTAATTGAATAAGCCTTCAACCTTCCATTGCATATTATATGTGAAAAGGCTTAGATTTTAGTTTGAGGGCTAGGGTGTGCTGTGTTTGATTGTTTAATAGTTTGTGAGTTCAAATTTAATTCTAGCACAATTAGAATTTTTAGAGTCTACCAAATTCACCCCCTCTTGGGTAAGGCCATCTTTCACAACAAAACCTAATTTCTTAATTAATGTAATAAGTCATTAACACTATGTTTATACTTTAAATTAATTATTATTATGGGTAATTACTGTTAACACTAATTAGTTAAGTAAAAAAACCCATCCATAGTGTTTATGACTTATTACAGTAATTAACAGTAATACTATGATTAATAAATGTTCATTAATGTTAACAGTAATACTATGATTAATTACTGTAATGACCCATTAATTACTGTTATGATATATTATTGTTAACAATATGATTAACTACTTCAAAAATCAGCAAAGTAATTAAAACTATGATTAATTAATTACTATTAATTAGTTGAAATTTGAATTACTATTAATCTCTTTACTAATTGTAATTAATGAAATTTTCAACTAATTAATAGTAATTACTTATTAAGAGTAATTTCTAGTTGTAAATTTTATCAATTTCAAAAATAAATTATCATTAATTGTTGTTGTCATTTTATTTTTTATGTATTACTTAAATTATCAGTAATTGTTCTCTTCATTTAACATTAAACCATTATTACTAATTATTAAAAATTATCAGAATTTTGTGGTAGTTTTTGGAAATTAGCAAAATAAATTGAGTAATTTTTGAAAATTACTCAAGAATTGAAAATTACCATAAAGTATTAATTAATAACTTACTATTGTTTTCATTAACTATTTAAGAATAAATTATTAGGAATTGTTGAAAATTACTAGATATTATCAGTAAATTATTGCTATTATAAATAATTATAAAAAAAAATATCAATTGATTATCAAAATTTACTAGAAATTATTTAACATTGAGTTTATATTGGTAATTATTATAAAATGTCAAAATTGGTAGTAGTATTTAAAAATTACCAAGAAATTCAATAGTTAAGTTAATGGTAATTATATTTTAATTGATTTTTGCTTCTCAGTATTTAACTATAATTTTGCAATATTTATTGAAAATTACCAGAGTTATTATTGCTATTCTTGAATAATTTACTGGTAATTATCAGTAATTATAGAAAAGTGCTAGAAATTATCAATAACTTATTGCTATTATTAGTAATTACCAGAACTTAAATGTAGCTATTCAAAATTACAAGAATTAAATAGTAAATTGTAATTATTTATGAAAATTATTAACTACCAGAAATTTTTAATTATTTCAATTTATCATAAATTATCAGTTATCAGAAATTATTGGTAATTATTGTTGATGACTATTGCTAGTTCAAAATTATTGAAATTCGTTGAGATGATTGTTGGTTTGTTCATTTAAATTTGAAAGTTGTATATATTTATTGAAAATTGGTTCATTTCTTTTGATTCTTTTGATTTGCTTACAGGTTTTTATTGTTTCAGTTGGCCTTGTGATGATTCTT